CACTACTAGAAACATGGGTTTTAGAGACGGAAGTATCCGTCGCTATTCCGTCGCTAAATGTTTGTTTGCGATGGATCAAGCGCGGATTCACTCCATAGGTAATTAATAGGTGGCTAATTTCTCAGCAAGGGTTTTAGCGACGGAGAGTTTTTTTCTTGCGACAAATTTAGCGACAGAATATCCGTCGCTAAATGTCACTCAACACATTTACTCAGGGCATAGCGACAAAATTTGTAAAGTCATTCCGTCGCTGTTCTGTCGCAAATTTCCGTGAACAGTGTTTTTTTTTCCAGCAAATCCCTTGCAAAATTCATATACTGATTTTTTTTTCCGTCGCTGATCTGCTGCGCAAGCTTTAGACATGGTTTTTTCCATAGCTAATCTCTTGCAAATTTATACATTATTTTTTTTTTGTTTCCGTCGCAAAATTTAGACATGATATTTTTTTTCGTAGCTAATCCCTCGCAAAAGGATGCATTAAAATACTTTTTTTATTCTCACCAATCCGTCGCGAACTTGTAATAGTTTTTTTAATGATTCTAAAAGAAAAAAAAATAACTACAATCATCAAATTTTTATACTAAAAAACATCGAATAACAATACAACCAAACATTACAATACCAAAACTACAAGTTTACCAAAGTATCATTCAAAAAACATCCAAAACCAAAACTATCCATATAACATCAAACTCCCAAAGGTTTAACGTCAAAATAACATTTTAGCACAAGAAATCCAAAGTAGCAAAAGAGGTACAAACAAAAAAAAAGTTTAACCTTCAAATAACATTTTAGCACCAAGAAATCCAAAGTATGCATCGGGAAATGAGTTTTCACAAAACATAACTTCAAAATAACATTTTAGCTGCTCTCTTCATTTCATGTCCATCCAATCATCTTCGATTCTCATTCCTATAAAACATTATTCAAAACAATCAAAAGTATCAAATACAAAAGGTTAACAAGTCATTCAAAAACATCAAATATTAATGGTTAACATCATATTACCTCTAATTTTCAATTTCCCATCATATTTTGCAAGGTTGCATACATCTTCTCCATTGCTTCATATTTTGCATCAATTTGTTGTTGTTTGGCATCTATTGCTGCAGCTTTGGCATCCATTTCCTCACGCATTTGTTGATGTTTAGCTTCCATTTCTGTAGCTTTAGCATCCATTTCCCCACGCATCTCGTTTCGTACACGTTCATAGACAACCTAAAGGACAATGATAGAAAACTTTGTAAGTACAATGCCATGATAGGAAACTTTGTAAGTACAATACCATGATAGAAAACTTTGTAAGTACAATGCCATGATAGGAAACTTTGTAAGTACAATGATATGATAGGAAACTTTGTAAGTACAATACCATGATAGGAAACTTTGTAAGTACAATGCCATGATAGGAAACTTTGTAAGTACAATGCTATGATAGGAAATTTTTATAAAGTACAAAATTAAACGAACCTCTTGGGATGTTATTGTACTAGATGTTCCTTCCAAAAAGCTCGCTGGATCAGACACAGATCCGAATCCATATATTCTTCCTTCTTGACTCCTCCGGAAACATCACACCATGTTTCATTATCCAAAAGGGGGTGGCAACTAGTATCATCACCAAACTTAGCCACCATAGCACTTTCATAAGCCTCCTATTATAGCAAAAAAAAATATGAAAAAACATAAACATGAAATAAGGAATGGAATGGTTCATTCCATTCCATTAAATTCATAATCAAGGAATGGAATGAACCACTTCATAAGCCTCCTATTAATTAATACTCAAACCTTACATAAAGTTGATTACTACTTACAAAACACTTAATTACAACTAGTTTCTCACCTTTGGGTAGCATCCGCTTAATTATAGGAAGTATGTGATCATAGGCAGCCTCAGATATATTGTATGCTGACTTCCAATGCAACAACTCTGTTGCAGCTTGTAATTTTGAATAATTTTCACATCCATCCCACAAAGGTTCATCAGCGTCTTCCAACATATCATAGAACCCCTTGGCAGTTGGATTCGGGAGTTCCTCCATTACATCCATCAATATTTGTGTACACCCATTAATATCATCATCATCATCATCTTCCATCGGATCCTGCATCGGATTAGAAGATTCTTCCTCATGCTGAGATATCATATTTCTTTCACCATGTGCCCACCAAGTTGTGTAATTAGGAGTGAAACCGTTTTGTAACAAGTGAAGCTCTACATCACCTCTTGTTTTATAATACATGTTCTTGCATTTAGAACAAGGACATCTAATATAATCCCCATCAACGGTTGCTTCATTAGAAAAAACAACATCCAGAAATCCTTTGACGGATGCATGATATGTTGTGCTAAGATACCCATGATCTAACCTTTTGTACATCCAGTCTCTATCACTACGTGTTGACATAATGACTAGCTACAACCAAATATATAACTACTATTTAGAAATTAGATAATGCAATCATATCCACATTACTAAAAGCATCCTTGGAAACTACAATTATACTATATGGAATACTTATTTTTATTATAACTATGCAATCATATTCCAAAAACTATAGCGACTAAAAATGTAATTTTGGAAAATTAAAACTACAGGGACAAGAATTGTAATTCCTGCAAACTAAAAGCTTCAGGGACCAAAAAGATAATTCTGGAAAACTAGAACTATAGGGACCAAAAGTGTCTTGCTTATTTCCCTCTTTCATAGAGACCAAAATTGTAATTCCAGAAATTTAAAACTTCAGGGACCAGAAATTTAACTTTTGCAAATTAAAAACTACAGGGACTAAAAATGTAATTTTGTAAAAATAAACTACAAGGACCAGAAATGTAATTCCCGCAAACTAAAAACTTTAGGGACCAAAAATATATAATTCTGGAAAACTAAAACTATAGGAACCAAAAGTGTCTTTTGCTTATTTCCCACTTTCATAGTGACCAAAAGTGTAATTCCTGAAATTTAAAGCTACAGGGACTAAAAATATAATTCCGGAATATTAAAACTACAGCGACCTAAAGTGTCATTTGCATATCTTTTGTTATCTAATGTAATACTATACAATCTTTTCAAAAAAAATAATTTTTTATATATTTTAATTTCTTGTACCCAATTTTTTTAGTTAATGTTGTTATACAGATGTTATATCAAGTTGTATGATTTTCCTCCGACATCATCAACTGAAGAAAATGATGAGCTGGCAAAAATGCCTGCTTCACAAAAGAAGAAAACTGAGGCAAAAACAGAGGAAGGCTGAAGCAAGGGCATAAAAAGTATATTTTGTTTTTCATGTGATTTTACGGTTTTGCCCTTGTGCATGACATATATATATATATATATATATAGATATATATATATATATATATAATATATATATATATATATATATATATATGTTTTAATGGTTGTTCAGGAGGCGGAAGTGAAGAATGAGGAAGCTAATGTTGGTGTTTCCAAATATGGGAAAAGAAATGTTAAGACGGTTGATCCGGATCCAAATGGAGAGAAATTATTGCAGGTTTTTACTAAGATCATTTATTCATATTAAAATATTATATATGTATATTGATATAAGGTTTTGTACAACTAGATGCTTGGTATGTGTCATATTTTTATTTTTGCATCATAAAATTTTATATTTTATTCAACAAAAAATGAAAACAACAAAGCCTTGTCCTCAAAGAAGATTCCAGAAGCTTCTACAGATGGAGGTGTAGCAAAAGACCAAAATGCCCCTAATGTTACTAAAGTAAAAACCCAAAAAATGACAACAAAGATTAAGAATCATTTAGTGAATCAGACTCAAGCTCAGAATCAGAATCATTTGGCAGGTCTTTGAAAAGTCAAAAAAAGATTAAAAACATGAAGAAAAATGTGCACCTAGAACAATATTTGGGTACACCTAGAACAATATTTGGGGATAACAGTGATGATAGTTCTGCTGATGATAATGCAATCATAAATTCAGATTCCAGCACACGAACTCCATCAAGAAATCCATCATCATCAGGGGAAAGTGATTCCAGCATTGACTCCAGAAGATATGGTAATTGGATTTATTTATTTTCTTCACTAATTTTAATTTATGCCACATAAAAAAGCATTGATTTTTATAATTTGAATTTGTATCAGAAGTGAAAAGAAATGAAGGTGGTGGAAACAACAACATGAACTCACAGTAAGTTTGGTGATATATCCCAAACACTCCCCTGTCTTCTCATTTTCAAAGGGTATTTAAGACATCTGACAAATTGTCAAACTCAAAACACTTTCCCTGTATATTAACACAATATTGATAGGTTGGTTGGTAAAACCACATATGAAAAGGTAATCGAAAGACATCACTTATTGACAGAGGGTAAATTGGTCATTTATTTTATTCAAACAATTCATTCAGTCCAAAAAAGAAACAAAACATTTTAAGCTAACTGTTATAGAATCCCAAATTGTTAACAAAAAAATGTTAACAAAAAAATGTAATAAAATTGTTAACAAAAAAATGTAAGATCACATACCATGAAATCTTGAAATAGAATTATAATATTAAAAAATACTTCTACCTACTTTTGTAAAGTAAAAATTAATAAATTAAAGTTTTGAAATTTTTTAAAAACACAAGTGGAAGTGGTATTATTAAAGAATATATATACAAATAAAACTAATTCATAATTGTGAATTTATTTATAACATATCATATTCCATTCCTTTGTTGCAAACAAAACACTATCTTGGAATTGAAATGAAGCTAATTAATTATGTGAAAATGGTTTTTCAGATTTTTGGGATTCAAGAAGACAATTCTATTGGATAAGAGACTTTTGGTGGATTTAATAGACAAATACACAAATGGAATTTTAAATTGGGATGAATTTTCCATTTCCGTAAAACCAGTTCATCAAGAAAGATTGGGAAATCCCACAAAAAGATTGGTTATTTCAAATAAACCCAAAGAAGAAGATTACTTTTATGCCAATCCAGAAGAGTGTTTGCAAACATCAGAATCATATGATGAACCTGTGAGCATCCTATAACAAGTCTTTCGGGGGGTATTTTGGTAATTTTCTATGAAGTAGAAGAAGAAGATTATGATTCTGTGCCCTTGAGAGGATCTGTGAAAATGTGTGGATGCAAGGGCATAAGATGAAACATGGTTTCATGAGAGATAAATGCATGAAGATCAAAGTGTTGGCTTCAAAATCTGTATATGCTGCTGCTGCTCCTGTGACAAGTACCACTGGCCTTAACATGGCTCCAAGTGAAGCAGCAACTGGCAGTAGAAGTCAGCATCATGATTCAAGACCACATCAACTTCAAGACCTCTTAAGGGAATAGGACTTATCAGAGAGACCACATCAACTTCAAGACCTCAAAAGGGAAAAGGACTTATCAGAGAGACCACCTCCTAAATATGAAAGAGAATTGGGGAAAACCTAAAGGTATTGGCTACTGGTGTTCCTGAATCCTTAAATACTCATAAATTGGATGACAAACTATGATGAATCAAGCCCTAAATCAAGTTTTAATTCTAACTTTCAAGGTGATTCATGTATATAATGCTGAGAGATAAGAGGGACATCGATTGAAAAAGAAAAAATGATAAATTAAACCTTAACAAAGTATATTGTGCAATTGAACTAAAACTAACCTAAGAGGGATGAGATTTACCTGAATCGGAAAGTTAACGAAGAATACTTTCAGCTTTAAAAATGTGGAGGTTGCCGGAATCGGGTGAGTAGTGCCGTCATCTATTCAAACAGAGATTGTGAGATGGAATTGGGTTAACAGATTGAAGGGAACTTCTATGTCGTCATCTGTTCAAAAATCATGTCCAGAGTCCAGAGTGATAAAGCTGGAGGGAAGGAAACGCGTACCAGAATTTTCAATGCATTTCGTGAAGATGGAACTGGGTTGTGCCAATTTCAGCTAGAGATTGGCGATAGAAAAAACAAAATGCACGTACCCAAAATATAGTTTCCGTCGACGTTCTCTCGCTAAACGCGTACCAGCTGGCGCAATTTTTTTATCCCTCGTTGAACCCTAGCTAAGGCCCTTCATTTTTCGACTGATTAGCGAGGGATAGTGGTGCATCGATAAATACTTGCGAGATCCATAGCTGATCCCTCGGTAAATCCTCACTAATATTCCACATGTTAAATAAATAAAATAACTATAAAAAACATGGTAGATCTGTCGTAATTCCCTAGCTATAAGTCTAAATTTTGCTAGAGAACAAATCCGTAGCAAAATCCATAGCTGAAACTCAAGTTTCTAGTAGTGACATTTCTCGGTTGCCACCATCGTATAAGCAATCTCTACATCCAAAGAAACATAAGATACAATCAAAAAAAAGTTATATCAACCTCACGAGATTCTAACATAGATAGATATATGTATATATACTTATTCATATATATCATGAAACTTAAGAAAATTAAATGTAGAACTAACATCACAAAATTACGTTACCTGATGCGATATAGCCATAGGTACATACGATTGTGGTCCAGTTGGATGAGTCTAGCTTTAAAAGCTTGGATGTCCCAAAATCAGAAATATGTGCCTCATTGTAAATAATAAATTCCCCTAAATATAGCTGATTTATTATTCACGTATATATATGGAGTACATAGGTTTGTAGATAAGTACAACATCTAAAACAGATAAGACTTTATATTTAAACTAAGATGATAAAAGCTATTTGCTAATACCCCCCGTCAAGATAATGGGTGGTGGTCCAACTCTTAGCTTAGATCGAAACTGCTCAAAGAGGGGTTTGGGAAGACTTTTAGTGAATATATCAGCTAGCTGCAAGTGTGTAGGAACGTGTTCTGTTTTGAGTTTGCCAGAAGCTACGAGTTCACGAACAAAGTGATAATCAATGTCGATGTGTTTTGCCCGTTTGTGTGCAATTGGATTTTGACTAAGGAAGAGAGCACTGTTGTTGTCACACAGAAGAGTTAGAATTGTAGATGGTAAAGCATGAAGTTCGTGTAACTAGTGAGTTATCCAAACTATTTCCGAAGCGGTGTTCGCCATGGCTCGATATTCATGTTGACAACTTGACCTGGATACAGTAGGTTGCTTCTTCGCACTCCAGGATACAAGGTTGCCACCTAGAAAAATGGAGTAACCATATGTGGATCGTCTCGTCTCTATACAACGAGCCCAATCAGCATCCGAGTAACCAAGGATAGAAGAGGATTGGGGTCGACGAAAATGCAAGCCATAAGAGAGTGTTCCTTTGACATAACGAAGAATACGCTTCACCGCTTGAAAGTGATCAGCTGTGGGTGCTTGAAAAAACTGACTGACTTGATTAACAGCGAAGGAGAGATATGGTCTTGTGATAGTGAGATACTGAAGAGCTCCTACCAAGGATCAAAACAGTGTCGGATCCGTGAATAAGTCACATGAGGTGATCAGTGGGCGATAAGGGTGTGGTGGTAGGTTTGGAATCAAGCAATCCGGCATGAGTAAGTATGTCATGTGCATACTTAGCTTGTGTAAGAAAGAGACCAGTGTCAGTGTATGTTACTTCAAGACAAAGAAAGTAATTGAGACGTCCAAGATGCTAGGTGGCAAACTCTGTGTTGATCCGATTGATGAAGTTGCGGATAATGCTAGAGATATTCTCGGTGAGAATAATGTCATCAACATAAATAAGAAGGTATAGCAAAGTGGATCGTTGTTTGAACACAAATAAGGATGTATCCGCATGACTGCATGAAAACCCAAGCGCGAGAAGAAAGGTACTTAACCTTTGAAACCAAGCTCTTGGTGATTGCTTAAGTCCATAAAGCGCATTTTTAAGACGACAAACATGCAAATGATACTTTTCATCAACGAACCCTGGAGGTTGTTCCATGAACACAGTTTCAGAGAGCATGCCATTTAAAAATACATTTTTAACATCGAGTTGATGTAATGGTCATTGGTGCATGACCGCTAGAGAGAGTTCAATTCGTACTGTTGAAGCTTTAACTACGTGGCTGAATGTATGCGAAAAATCGAGTCTGGGGTACCTGAGTGAATCCTTGAGCCACGAGACGTGTCTTGTATCTTTCAATTGTACCATCCGAGTGAAACTTGGTACGGAAAATTGATTTGGACCCAACAACATTAGAATGAGCGGGACGGGGAACTAAGTCCCATGTGCCATTATCGCGAAGCGCTGTCATTTCTTCATCCGTGGCTATTAACCAATGTGGGTGTTTAGATGCTGATTTAAAACCCTTTAGAATTGTAGATGTAAACAAGGCATGAACAAGACCGGTAGTGCCTAGGGAGGCCAAATCCACAAAATTCTTGGGTTTAACAATTCTAGCTTTACCCCTCGTGATCATGGGATGTGTTGAAGGAACTATAGGTTGTGAGGGAGTTGATGACCTGAAGGGAGTGGGTTGTGGTGTAGAGGAGTCGAACATTGATGATTCTGGCATCATAGATGAGGCATCAGTAGCAGCAGTTTCGGCTACCGGTGAGGGAGCTACTGGCGGACAAAGGGAGCAGTAGTGATGCAGAGTCATAGGAGAATCCTCATAAGGACTGGAGTTGTCTGATTGCGGCTGAGTTGGGGATGAACTGAGTGGTTCATCAAATGAAGTGAAGGCAAGTAAATTTAAATCAGATGAAGAAGAGCTGTCAGCAAATGGGAAGATGTGTTCATCAAATTGAGCATGTCTTGTTGTGTAAATACGATTAGTAGTTGGATCCAAACAACAATAACCTTTGTACCTTGTGCTATATCTAATAAATAAGGGAAAACACGACATCCGAAGACACGAAAGATGTCATAGTTCGGTGAAGTAGCAAAAAGTACTTCAAATGGACTTTTGGCCTTGTGGAGTTTTGTGGGTAACCGGTTGATAATGTAAACGGTTCATGTAAATTCATCAACCCAATAAGATGTGGAAGCGTGTGCATTAAATAAAAAAGCAAGACCCGTTTCGGTAATATGTCGGTGTTTGCGTTCAACCCTTCCGTTTTGTTGGGGAGTGTAAGGGCAAGAGACTTGATGATGTATGCCATTGGCAAGAAAAGTATGTTGAACCCGATGGTGTAAAAATTCAGTGCCTCCATCACTTTGAAATGTTTTTACTTTACATGAAAACAGAGTTTGCACAAAGGTGAGGAAATTTTCAAGGGTTTGTGCAAAATCGGATTTGTGTGTGAGTGGATAAAACCACGTAAACCTGGAATGATCATCAAGAAATATGACATGGTATAGATACCCATCGGTGGATGGAACCGGTGCGGGGCCCACAAATCACAATGAATGAGGTCAAGGACATGTAAAGCTCTTTTTGTGTTGTCAGAAAAAGGTAATTTCTTGCTTTTAGACAATTGACAAGAGGGGCCTAAATCAGTTTTAGGTAAAAGAGAAGTTATATTTAAAGAACCCAATTTTTGCAATAATGAAACAATGTCAAAAGCTACATGACCTAATCTATTATGCCATAATTCGAAAGAAGCACTAGTTCTTTTATTTCTTAAAGTGGCTAAAAAAAGCCTTATTTCGTTGCTCAAGCATGTAAAAGGCATTCTTGACATCTACCATTGGCGATGATTTCCTTGGTTATATGATTCTGAATGGCAGAAAATTTATCAGACAAGAGAAAATCAATAGGTGAGTCATGAGTTAGCTTGCTAATAGATAGGAGATTCTTTGTGAGATGAGGAACCACAAGCATATCCATTAAAGTAAGATTCTTGGAAATAATTGAGTTACCAATATGAGAGATGTTGAGAACATTACCATTGCCAACTACAACTTGATCTTTTTCCCGTGTAGGAGGAGGAAGAGTCAAGATGTGATGAAGATTTGGTCGTGTGGCTGGAGGCACCAGAATCGACATACCAATCAGGAGTAGATGACTTGACATTACATTGACTGTGAAATGTATGGGCTAAATTTGCATCAATAGATGCACCTTGTTGAGCATATGAGGCCAAGTCAGGACATGCAGACGCATAGTGACCATTTTTTATGCATAATTGGCAATGAGGGGAACGTTTACCGCGTCCCCTACCACATGAGTAAGAACCACGTCCCTTACCACGGTTAGAAGGGCTGCCACTGGCTATTGGAGTAGATGAATTTGCGTGAGTTTGGGCAGTGAAGGCAGCAACTGTTGTGGCTGGAGAACCGTGAAGAGAAGACATAAACATCTCAGGACTCTCTGCTTGAGACAGAAAATTATGAAAGGATGGATAGACAAGGTTTGTTCGGTGAAAAGTGGAGAACAACTCAAATATGGAGCCAAGACCACACAAGAAGTAATGAGCTTTGTCGGAGTCGTCCATTGGATGTCCAATGGCTACCAATTGATCACACAGTGCCTTGAATTTTTTGCCAAATTCATTAACAAAAAAGAAGATCCATTTTTTTGTTGTCTCAATGAATCACGTAGAGTCTGTAACCTCTCACATGAGTCATGGTTGTAGGCTTGCTCCAAAGCCTTCCAGATTTCACGGGCAGTAGCTGAGCCAAGAGATTCAGCCATAGCCTCCTCCGATAAGGAGGATTGTAAGATGAGAAGAGCCCGTTGATCAGCCTCATGCCAGGCTAAATAAGCTGGATTATGAGAACATTTACCTTCAACTGTAATCGTAGTAAAAGGAGCGAGGGAGGGAGGACCCATCGATATGTCCCAGGAGATTCTGATAGGACAACAGTGGCTGAATCTTATTCTTCCAGAGAAGATAATTGCTGGAGGAGAGTTTGGTGGTGAGAAGATGAAGAATTGTAGATAGAGGGATGATTTCGGAAGAACAAGCCATAGCGAAACAAGATGATTCTGATGGAGGGAGGTAAGTGGCGCCGATTAGGTTACCAGGTTGATACCATGTAAATAATAAATTCCCCCTAAATATAGTTGATTTATTATTCACGTATATATATGGAGTACATAGGTTTATAGATAAGTACAACAACTAAAACAGATAAGACTTTATATTAAAAATAAGATGATAAAAGCTATCTGCTAATACTCATAACCAAAATCAAGAAGGATGTTGGCAATCAAAATGTCTTTATGAATTATAGGAGGTGTGCAGTCGTGATGCATATAAGCCAAACCATTACGTATAACCTTTACAATATTGACCCTATTTAACTAATCCAATTCTTTTGCTAAGATCTCATTGCATAAGATTGATCCAAGGCTTCCCTTTTCAAGGTATTCATAAATCAAAAATGAGTGGCGGGCATGTGAGCAGTATCCATAGAGTTTCACTATGTTTTGACGCCTTATATTCGTTAATGCTTGTATCTCATTAAGGAATCCGTTATGATCAACATTCTCAGATCATGAGTGGAGTTTCTTGACAGCTACCACATTGTTAGGTTGTAGCTCGGCTTTGTACATAGCCCCATATCCTCCGGTCCCAATGGAGTATGCTTCATCAAAATTATTCGTTGCTTTCAAGATGTCATCATACACTACTGTTTTGTTTTCGACTATCAATGAGGCCACACATGAATAAACCAAGTAAATTTACCCCGATAAGAGGGAGCATAATTACCAGGATGAGCTGATGATGAAAGGGATCATTTTTCTTACTCAAAATTACTATTGTTTCAAATTACATACCATGGTAATTTAAATAAAAATTCGGAATTCATCTTCTGTAATAGAAAACTTACAACTAATTAAGTTACTCTGCACCAAAAGAAAGTGGTGGATTAGGTGTTGGATCAATACGTGCACTAAACGTTAGTCTCATTGTAAAATGGTGGTGGTGCGTGCAAACTGAATCGACTGCACTATGGAGTCAAGTAATAACAGGTATCCACTCTCTTTCTAACAAGCCTTATGATTATCTTTCAAAGAAAACTATTACTGAGGTTTGGAAAAACATTGCAGGGACTATAAAAGATATTCATTGAGCTAGACTTACTCTCAACGACATATTCAAGTTGGAGGTCAAATCAGGAGAAAGCATAATGTTCTGGCAAGACAATTGGCTGAATAATGTGAAATTAAAATCAAAATATCCTTCACTTTATGATTTAGAATTGTGTAAAACATGCTTTGTTGCCTCTCGAATCTTAAATACTGGTAATTCCTGGGAATGGAAATCTTGCCCTTTAAACGCAGGATTATCCATAGAATTTAACAAGTTAAATCGGGAGATTGCTTCTTGCCAAATACAACCCGAACAAGACAAATGGATGTGCTTGTTAACAACAGATGGAAGATATACTGTGGAAGCTCTCAGGCGGAAAATAGACCTAAATTCACACCAATCCATCATTCTCCCGCATATCAATTGGTGTAAGATTATCCCCATTAAGGTACTTTGTTTTGCTTGGAGAGCTGCACAAGGTTGTATCCCATCTGCTACGGCACTACAACATCGTGGCATGAATATCGATTCAATACATTGTAGCTCATGTATCGGAGGAGATGAATGCGCTGATTACATTCTCATCGATTGTCCATATGCAAGTTATATAAGAGATAAAATTTTTGAATGGTGCAAAATAAAAAATAACAAATTTCAATAATGTTGGTGACCTACTTCAATTTGCAGCCTCATGGGGTCGATGCTCCAAGAAACGTATTAAACTACTATGTATATGCTACGGATTGATATGGAGTCTTTGGAAAACCAGGAATGACAGATTATTTCGTGGAGTTGCTACCACAACATCCAGGGGGATTGATAACATCAAATCGTTAACATATTTATGGCACAAGTGTAGGGGTAATGGTATTACTGGTGATTGGATAGATTGGAATTCCTCCCCTCTTTCCCATATGTAATAACTTTAAAAACTATTCTTTTGTTTTCTTGTTTTGCCATTACGTAGTTTCTTGCTAGGTTTCGGGTTCTATTAATATATTTTGCCGTTTCTTAAAAAAATTAAGTTACTTTAGAGATACGCCAATTGTGATGGCTACTTTAAGAGATTACAAAAAATGAATGCTCCTGGAATATTCTTGTAAGGTATGAACAAAGTGAAAAGCAGAATTTTAAACTTTATTTCATCCATATCTTTGTTATCACCTCATAGGCCGTTAGTTCTAAAGCTTAAAATCTTTATTCATTAATTTTCTATCATGAACATCTAAATAATGTCACATGCTAACATTATGGAGATAATTAAAGAAAAGGTTAAAAGCAACTTTATTTTTAAATAGATTAGGATTTATTTTATTTTATTTTATATATTTATTTAAATTTATATTAAAAAATAAGTAGATCCACATATAGGGGTACAAATACAATATCACCCTTATCTTTGGTTGCTTAGAATTCATATTTGGTTTTTGTTATTTTTGGATGCAAATTTTGTACCCACAGATACCAGTACCTTCCGGATATATTTAATTTTATAGGTCTATATTATTCGAATCAATTAGAGTTACACATTTGCAATGTCAATATCTTGTAAAGATCTTTTGTATCCACATAATGAAATGATGTTGTAGGTCCTTTCACATACCCACATTATTGTCTTTGAACAACTTATTAAAAGCGGGCTTTCCACCAAGAAGAAAGCAAAATTTTGGTGATAGTCTTTATCACAAAAACATGAGTCCTACATAGGTGGTGTGAGAAACGTTTAGTGGATATTTAAAGTTTAAAGTTGCTTCCATTATTTGAATGGAAATTTGGATCGTATTATGTGTTGTTACGTTACAAAAAACCCACCCAAAGCAAAGACTAAGAAAAGGATGAATAAGCCCCGATGAAACTAATAAATAACTCGAAAAAAGAACAATCCCACCTAAAGCAAAGACTAATACGGTGTTTGGATAAATTA